GATTGTGATGATAGTGATGGTAGTGATTGTGGTGGTTGTGGTGGTGATGGTGATGGTGATGGTGATGGTGAACGTAATGATGGTGGTCATGGTGGCCATGGTGGTAGTGATAATGATTATGATGATCATGCTGAGGATGATGCTGTTGTTGATGATGATGGTGATGATGATGGTGATGGTGATGTGATGCTGGTGGTGATAGTATAATGATGATGATGATGAGGAGGAGGAGGAGGAGGAGAAGGAGGTGGAGGTGGAGGAGGAGGAGGAGGAGCAGGTGGAGGTGGAGGAGGACCTTGCTGCCCCTGGGCCGACGAGGCCAGCTCCGCGGGCGCCCGCGCCCCTGCCCCGTAGAGCGCGCGCGCGCCAGGAGCGACAGGTCCTGGCGTGGGAGCTCAAGAAGATGCGGAACGACAACCTGGACGGGGGCCGGGCTGTTCTCCCCTGGCATCGCTCGGGCGTGTGCATTTTTCCTTCGGCGGAGACCATCGAGGAGCATCCTTGATCATTTCGCGAAGAAGCCACGCACGAAACATAAAAAAACACAGGGAATGGACGTCCGAGCGATGGCCAGCTCCAGACCTCTGACGACATGACTTGTTTCCACTCCGCGCGTGTTTCCTCGATGTCGGCCCCCTGGGGCCCGTTCTCGGGCCCATGGAGCTATCGGGAGTGGCTCCAGGACGGCAAACGGGCCGCGGGAAGGGGTCGGCAGCTCTGGGGCCGCGGATCGAGAAATCAAATTCGGCGGATGTCGGGGTCCTCTCAGCACGAAGCACACGAGTCCTTGGTGGAGGGTGGCGCCGACGACGGAGAGAGGTACAGTGGAGACCCGTGCCAAGAAGCACTCTGCTTGCTTCCAGGGTGCCCTGGGTTTCTTGCGCTTCTTGGGTTTCGATGGTTTTGTTCTATGGAAAGCGTGGCGTTCTCACACCACACATCCATTGACGTCCTGGGGTCTGATGGTTGGGTCTCTTGTGTGAGGCTTCTTGTGGACTGGCCTGTAGGAAGAGGGCCCAGGAAGGGACGCCGACCTTCGACGGTGGCGACGCGCGCAGCGCGCACCCAGCGCTCCAGACAGGGCGGCCAGAGGAGAGGGGAACCGAGAGGGAGGGGGGGCCCTGAGGCTGCCGGGCGGGTTGCGGCCTTCCGGGGCCCTCCAAGGGCCGAGGGCCCCGGGCTGTGGTCAGAGAGCGAGTCGGGGAGAAGAGAGGTGGCCCCCGAGAGAGCCCCTGTGCCCAGGACCCGTTTCCCTCGGGGCCCCTCCCCGTCGTTGCAGGCCCCCTCCATTCCGAGGTGGGGGCAGGGCTCCTCCTCCTCCTCGTCGCGTCGCGGAGGGCGTGGGGTCCTCGCCATCCTCCTCCCCCTCCCCTTCTTGACCCTCCTCCTCCCGGTGCCTTTTCACGATGGGGCTCTCGCTCTCTCGCTTGAGTCCCGCGCATGTTATGACCAGAGTCTGTGCATTGGGCGACACCCACGCCGGTGGACGAATGGAGGGCAGATCCTTGTCAATCTAGGGCTATTTGGGGACATTCCATAGAACTGTATCATCATCGTTCTTGGCGCTTCTCTCGGCGAGGAGGATGGCTGGACTCGAAGAAGGAAAAACGGCATAAGCACAAACTGTTCGCGCTCAGCGCGGATCTTGGATCCGCGCTGGGCCCCCCTTGCGGCGCCTCCGGCGCCGCCCCTGGCGCGCTCCGCGCGCCAGGGAGGGGGGCTCAGCGCAGATCCGAGAAATCCGCGCGGAGCGCCAACAGGTATGCTTATGCCTTTTCTTCTTCTCCTTCTACGGAGGACCCTTTGCAGAAAGGAGGGCAGATCCTTGTCAATCTGGGGCTATCTGTGGACAGTGCACAGACTTCATTCTCCTAGTTCTTGGCGCCTCTCCTCCGCAAGGAGGCTGGACGGAGGCTCCTTGGCAGCGCGGGGTCTCGCCAGGGCGGCAGGCCCACCGGCCTCTCTCGCCATTCGGGGGGGGTCGCCTCCCCGCTCCGGAGAGGCACCTCTGCAGGAGCTGCCGAGGAAATGGGGCCCTGGGACCCGGAGGGTGCGAGGCGGCGTCGCGGGTGCTCCTCTGCCTGCGATTCGCCGGAGCATCGCGGGTGCTCCTCGCGAGACGGCACCGCGGGTGCTCTTCCGCCCGTGCTTCGCCGGAGCAGCGCGCGCAGCTGGGCTTGTGTCGGCGGCAGGCTCGGCGGACCCGCGGGGCCCCCGTCTCTGGCGCCCTCGGCGGGTGGCAGAGAGGGGGTGTCCCGTGCAGCGTCCGGTCTCCGAGCCGATCCGGCGTGCGGTTTCCGATTTCCGACCTGATGCGGCGATGTCGCAGACTGGAACATCTACATTACCAGTGGCGGGTTGTTTTTCAATCCCACGACTTTTTCAGGGTCGGGGACGACGTCGGGGTGGTGTGGTGTATACTTGTTTCTTCGTTTTCCCAGGGAAACAGCGGAACATGTATACACCAGGATCCCGTATACACCAGGATCCGCGTTCCTGTGCGAATTTCAGCGCAGGGCCGGAAAAAGTGTTGGTGTATAGAGTTCGGTTCCTTAAAGATTCGATGCGATTCCGATTTCGACCCAGCTTCGCGATTCGATCTTGGTCCGTACTGCTCTCCTCGGGGAGCCCCTTTGGCCACCCTCGGAGGAGGACAGGGTGCCGATGCCGCTGCTCCTCCAGCAGAGCCCTCGCCGCCTCGACGGGGTCCGCCCCCCAAAATCCAGAGCGCACTCCTGGAGAGGTCCGCGGAGTAGCGGCAGCGGTGCTTGCGTGTTCCCCCCACTCTTCCTCTTTCTCCTCCTCCTCCTCCTCCTCATTCTCCTCCTCATTCTCCTCCTCCTCCTCCTCCTCCTCCTCCTCCTCCTCCTCCTCCTCCTCCTCCTCCTCCTCCTCCTCCTCCCCCACTCTTCCTCTTTCTCATCCTCCTTTCTAATTTTCTCCTTCTGCTCATCTTTCTCCCTCTTTCTGCTCATCCTCTTCCTTCTCCCCCTCCTCCACGCGCACGTGGACGCGCATGGGTTCCGAGAAAAACAAACTACTACGCGAGCGTTTGCCTCATGAGGGCGCCTTCGCAAACAGTGGAGCATAGTCATTCATGTATGTGGTTGGGCGCGTACGTTTTTTTTGTGCGGGATCCCTGTCCTTCGCCTCCTCTTCCTCCTCCTCCTCCTTCCTCTCTTGGGGTCATCCGTTAAGACTGGAACGATTCAGAGAAGATTGGCCTGGCTCCTGCAAGGTGAAGACACGCACATATCGAGAAGCGCTTACACTAACACATGCTGTATGCTCTAAAGGCTGTCCTCCTCCTCCCCGCTCTTTCTCTCTCTCTCTCTCTCCTCCCCCTCCTCCGCCTCCTCCTCCTCCTCCTCCTCCTCCTGGTGCCCTTTTGGCTTTTCTCTGGGCGGTATCAGAGGGACCCCCGCTGCGGAACGACAAGCTGGACACGGGCGAGCGGTCAGTTGGCGCAGCGCTTTCGTTTCCAGATGTGGCCTTCCCCAAACGTCTTCTCCGAACTTCTGGCGCTGCCTGGGCCCATGCAGTGCCAAAAGGGGCCACCACACCACTGAGGGGGGCGCCATTTCTTCCAAGCAGCAGATCCCCAGTATGACTGCGACAAATGTCCAGAGCCTCCTCGATCCTCGATCATCCCTCCGCCACCTCGGTCCTCGATCTTCAGGAGGGGTTGGCGACCCCTTCGCTGGCGAGCCCCCTCGGTGCCGCCCGTTGGACTTCGCCAGACCTCCAAGACCTGCGCCTGGACTGCGGAGGTCTCCTCGCCGCAGCGAGGGTCGACGACGACGACGCTGATGACGACAAGGACGACTGCAAAGGCTACAGCGCCGCCGACGACGCCGTCGCCGCCGCCGCCGCCGCCGACGACGACGACGACGACGACGACGACGACGACGACGACGACGACGACGACGACGACGACGACGGCGGCGGCGGCGGCGGCGGCGGCGGCGGCGACGGCGGCGGCTGCACGCCTCTCGTGCCCTGGGAGCGGCGCGGGCCTCGCTGGCCAGGGGCGGCCGGGAGGTCCCCTGCGGGCGGCTGCTGCACGACAAGGCCGGCGCCGGCGACACCGCTGGCGGCGGCGGCGCCGACCGCGATCGACGCCGCTCCCGGATCTCGGGGGAGGAAGGGACGCGGATATCGCTGCTCGTCCTCGAGGGCCTTCGTCACCACGACCGGAGTCGCGCGTCGAGATTCTGGTCAGACCGCACGCCCTGGGAGAGTAGAGGTCCGGGGAGCGGCGGCAGCGGCATCCTTCTGAGCCCGTGAGATCTGCGAGGGCCCGACGTTTTAGGGGTGCTCCTGTCACTTTCCCTCGATCTTCGGCCTGCGGGGCCCGCCTCCGGGCCGCCGGGCCGCCACAATGGGCCGGGGGCAGAACACGTACCCGGAGGGAGGAGGGTCGAGACAGGGCGAGGCCTCGGGGGCCTCGGGGGCCGGGACTGCTGCACGCCATGGTGGTTTGCCGTGTGCCAGGTCCACCGGGAGAGAGCGAGGCATGGGGGATGTTTCGGCCCACGGCTGCAGCTTCCCATGCGGGCCCTCCCCCTCCTTCCCTCGCGCCGCCGCCCTCGTCTTCGTCTCTCTCTCTCTCTCTTTCTCTCTCTCTCTCTCTTGCACGCCAGACAATTTGAGCATCGGTTGCCCCGATCGGCCTCGCGCTGGTGCGGACTGCCTCTTTCTCGCCGCCGACGAAGAAAGTAGTTTCCCATGTGCGCCAACGCCCTGTTTTATCAAAGGCTCCGTGTACGGGGTCGGGAGACGACGACGTTCTTCGGAGGTCGTTGGGCGCGCTCCTGAAGGTTCTCGCCGCCACGGCTGGGCGCAGCTCCCGAGGCCGGCCAGGGTCTCGGCGACGGGAGTCTCCCGGGGGGGACCGATTCTCGGCGGCGAGCGAGGGGGCGAAACGAGAAGGAGAAGGCCTTCTCAGCAAGCGGCGGAGCTTCTCACAAGCCCTCGCGCCTTCTGAGAAGTGTTCCTGTGGCGTCGGGGAGGACGTAGAGATGTCTCAGAAGGCCGGGGGGCTTTCGAGCCTTCTGGGAAGGCCTTTTCCTTCTCACTTCCCCCCCTCGCTCGCCGCCGAGATTCGCGTGTTGGCCGCACACGAACCTCGTGCCCTCCCCCCACCGCAGCCCCCTGGTCCCAGTTCTTGCGCGGCGTGGGCATGTCGACAGCCCCTTCCCCTTGGGCGGCTTCTCCTCCAACGGCCTCCAATTCGCCGAAAACGACGAACAGCCAGACGCCACAGTTCATGATGCTATTTCCGGATCCGAGGGACCCTCGATTCTCGATCCTCCTCCCTCTTCCATATCCCCCCCTTTGCTTGCTTTGAGCGCCCGCAAGGTCGACCCTTGGCACCTGCAGCCCTTCTATCTGGGCGTCGTGGTGCTGGCGGACTGGCCCCTGAAACAGGCATGGGGCGGCCCTCTGGGAGCGCCTGCGCAAGAAAGGTTAGAGGAGGACTTGCATACAGAAGTGGAGCGTACTCGCACGAGCGGCAAATGCGGAGCGCGTCACTGCACGCTGAACATGCTGTGCCCAGCACTGTGGCCTGACCTGATCGCTGCAACTACCGTAGGACATAGTTTTCTCTGGAATTGTTCCGCAGAGGGGCAGTCATCGAAGTGCTGAATAAGAGTGTTCACAACACCCCTTCCAGGAACCGGGAAACAAGATCTGCGTGAACACGTGTTGTTGGTTGTCAGCGGGCATGCGCCGGGTCCTTGCCTGGCGACCGCGACGCGGGCTACGCAAACGCGGACTGGGCCCCATAGAAGGCAGGTCAAGCGGAAGAGGAAGGCTACATAACCGGAAATTTTCAGATGGCACATGTGTCTGTGCTGGACTGCCCTGGCGGCGCCCAATTCGCTACCTCTGGCGCGCGTCGCGCGCCAGGGGACGGGGTCCAGCGCCGTCCAACGAACTCCGCGTGGACCTTTGACACGCTATGTTCCTGTAGCTCTCTCTCCCTCGTCTTGCCTCGCTCCTCCCGCGCCCCAGCCACCCACCGCTGAAGGCTGACGTCTCACGCTGCTCGGGGTCTCTCGATATCCCTGTGGCCACCTGTAGGCCAGCTCCTCTTCTGCCCAGGCCTTTTGGTTGCTTGCCCTTCGCTACCCCGTCCTCGTGCCCCTTTTGGGGGGGCGCGCGCGTGGCCACCTGCAGGCTAGCCCTTCTTCTGCCCAGGCCTTGGTTGTCTGTCTTTCCCTGCCGGGACCTCGTGCCTCTTTTTGGGGGCGCGCGCGCGGCCAACCTGGAGAGTCCTGGAACCCCGCTCCCTAGGGGAGGCAGGCAGAGGAGCTGGGGGGGGGGGAGAACGAGAGGAGCTGGGATCGGGGGGGTGGACAGACGTCCTACCCTGACACGTCGATTGAGGAATTGGCCGTTTTCGGTTCGCGGGAGGTCGTCGCGGCCGTTACCCAGGGAGGGGGGCCTGTATGCTTTGTCCGCCGCTTCCCCAGAAGCGGAGCTCGTGCATCACTGTTTCGGACCAACCACGGCAGGGCTGTTTGCCGACTCGCCGCATCGAGCTGGACCACACTCAGGATGGGGGTGCGCCCTGATGCGTCATCTCCCGCCCTCCTCTTCCTTCCCTCCTCTCCAGAGGCCGCGTTGGAAAGAGTCGAGCCCACTGGACAAGTGGCGTATGAGGCCGAAGCAGCCGAGTATTTGTTTGGTCGTTCTCGCTTTGTTCCAGGCGCACGAGGTGGAACAAAAGCAGCCGCTGCCAGGTGGTAGGTGGCCTAGCGCTATAGTGTGTAGTAGGCTTTACGGTGGGGAACCTTGGCTTGGCGTGTCGGTTCGCCAGTTTTGGCCCACCACGCCTCGGCGCCGCACGCCATCCACGCCCAACTGTCCAAAGCGTCAACGGCCCGAGCTGCTCCCAGCCTCTTACCCCGCGGAGCGGAGCGACACGCTATCCACACGCAGGGCACCGCTTGTCGCCGCTGCCGCCGCGTCAACAAGCTATCAAATAGTTCCTGGCCGAATTGGGTATTATCTTAGCTACCCTGGCACGGCCATTTTGAATCGCAAAACGTCCGTGTACAAGACGTCCGTGTTAACAGGGTTGGCTCAGCGTCTTGGCCCGCGTTTTGGCGAACGTCTCGCGCCAGATCTGCGTGTTCAGCCTTCGTTTTGAACTTCGTGCCAACACGCCACGGGGTGCGTGCTGCGCATCGGGGCAGCTGAGGGTATGGGTATATGGTGTTTTTGCTCACCTTTTTATGTTCAGCTTCAGAACATCGAGCCCACCGTGGCCGAGTGGTGTACGCTCGGCCGCGCGTGGGCCGCACTCGTCCGCGCTGCTCGGCGGAGCGGCGCGCCTCTATGCCTGCGCTGCTCGGCGGCGTGGAGGCGCACGGATCGTATCGGGCACGGCTTTTTCTGTTTCTCTGGAGGGGGAGATAGGCACAGACATAGATCATCGTCGCTCCGAGGTGGGACAACATGGGAAGTGGGGGGAAGACGGACATCGAGACGAGATGGAAAAAGATGGGGAATCTTGGGATCTGTGTGTCAATCATTTGTGCGTCTTCGTGGGCCCATGTAGTTCCCGCGACACGTCCGAGTGACATTGCGCCAGAGTGACCTTGAGGGCGCGGCTTTCAGGGGCGCAGGGTGGCCAGTCCCAAGAACGTCGGCCGCCACTGCCGCATCGCAAGCAACGATCGGCAGGCCACGTCCTCAAGGTCACTCTTGCCTCAAGGTCGCTCCTGCGCGTAGTCGATCTTGCTCCCGCTTTGAGGTGGTGCCGTAGCGTGGTGTTGCGTCGACGCGGCGGCGCCCCTGGGGCGGGCATTCAGGGTTGATCGCCGACAGTGGCCCGGAAGCGGCTGGTATCGAGCGATCTTGCGCCATCGGGAAGCCGTGCCCGTTCACGGTTGAACGATCCATGTGGCGGCAGAAACCGGCGTGAGAGACGACACGACATGAATTTGCCGTATTTGAGCTTGTTTTTCGGTTTTGGGTAGGCGGGGGGGTTCTGCCAGCCGTCCTGCCCCCATGAGGGCGTCGAGACCTGCGGTTGAGCTGATCATGTTGGGACATAGGTATATGTATGTATGCATGCATGTATGCATGTATGTATAGATGTACGCTTGTGTGCATGTATTGTAATGAAATGAAGTGTAATGTGGTATAATGAAATATAGCGCAAGAACATGTAATGACATGTATTGTAAGTTAGCGTAAGAATGTAATATCTGTCGTGTACGGAACGTATGTACGTATGTATGTATGTACGTATGTCTGATTTCAATGAATGAATGTATGTATGTATGCATGCACGCATGTATGTATGCGAGTATGTTTGTATAATTGTATGTATGTGCTGCGTATGTGTACGTATACATATACACGTTTGCCAGCGTGGACACCGGGCAGTGTCCTAGCATATCACGTGGTGCAACTAATGTAGTGTAGTGCACCCTGCCGGGCTTGAAGTTGTCATCCATCCCACCCACCCGCGAATTGGCTTGCAAAACCTATTCTGCGGTGATTGCGATGACTGCTTGGCGTCTGCTGGCACATCGCTGCGGCTGCGCTATCGATCGCAGGCTTGCGCGCAGAGCGGCCAACTAGTTTGACGCGACCGACGCGGCCGCGCTGGCGCTGACCGATAGGGATTTCCGAGCCCGTCTCGCAGGCCGCGCTGAAGCGCGGTCTTTTTAGTGCGAGTCGGTGACTCTAGCGGTTTCTGTATCATGGCGACGTCGGCAACGGCAGACACGACGATGGTAGTAGCAAAGATGGTGACGATGATGTCAAGGACGAGGGCTTGGCCAGTGACGGCACCGATGCTGATCACGCCGATGATGATGATGATGATGGTGATGGCGATGATGATGATGATGATGATGATGATGATGATGATGATGATGATGATGATGACGATGATGATGATGATGATGGTGATGATGATGATGATGATGCTGATGATGATGATGATGATGACGATGATGATGATAATGTTGTTGATGATGATGACGATGATGCTGATGGTGATGATGGTGGCGTCCACGTGTCGATGGTGAGGGTTTTGGAGTGATTTCGACGTGCGCGCGCGGCCGACGGGCACGAGTGGCCCGCACGGTGTTATCTGACAAGGACTCTGCCACCACCCCCCGCATGCACGCAAGGGCGTTCGAAAGATTTCGACACGCGCGCGCGAGAGGCGTGGCTGGTCGCATTTGGTGAGCATGTAAAAAGAAATTATGGTTTTCGTGAGAGGTCGCAACACACCGCGCGCGCAGACCCCGTTGAAATCACAAGTTTCAGAACCTGTTGGCGCTTTATGTGTTGTCGGGAACCTCTGTGTTGACAGCTTTGCGAAGCCAACATGTTTCGCACAAGGATTTTGGCATGCGCGCGACGCTTCGCGCGTGTGGACTTGCCAGTTTGTTGTTGCAAGGCTCCTTGGCAATGTATGGTTTTTGATCGGCGAGTGTGCGCGCATCGTATCACTGGTCAAGGGAAGGGGGAGTGTCGACGCGAGCGCCCCATGGACGAACAACAATACGTATGTAAGCTGTATGATCCCAAGGTGTCGCGCTAAGACCGAAATGGGGGTAGATCCGGATTCCTCATTTGGGAAAACAAAAAACTGGCGCAATCGATTGCGATCGTTTGCAATCGTCTGCAATGCCAGGGACGGGGGTGTAACGGGGCGGCGGCGACGGACGGCGGCAACGGCGGCAACAAACGCAGCGATCGACACCCGGGCCCCGAAGCAGTGGCGATGGGCGTGGGACGGCGGCAACAATCGCGGCGCCCGACACCCAGGCCCAGAAGCAGCGGCGACCGACGGCGGCAACAAGCGCGGCGAGCGACACCCAGGCCCAAAAACAGCGTCGACGGACGGCGGCGACGGGCGGCGACGGCGGCGGCTACATAGCCGCCAGACCGACACTCAGACTCAATTGCTGAGAGACGGAGTAAGAACCCCTAAGTTCAAGCTCGGCGTGGGGAATACATGAATACATAGGTAAAAGTATTCATATATGCAAGGATGCGTGCATGGTGCCGTATGAGCATGCGTGCATATAGACATAGATCGTGGCTGCAATGGTAGCTGGCGTGGACCCCCTAGCAGCGCTTGTCTAGCAACATGCGCGTTGCAATCTATGAGGGGCAATCTACGTAATGCAATCTAAGTGGTGCAAACTATGCTGTGCAGTATATGTGGTGCCATCGAGTGGTGTAATCGATGTGGGGCATACTATGTGGTGCAATCTGCTCTGGTGCATTATACGTAGTGCCATATGTGTTTTGCAATCGATGTAACCTGTGTTGTGTAATACTTACATATGCGTATATATTGTGCACCGTAGGTGGTGCAAGACATGTTGTGCAACCCACGTGTAGCAGTCCATGACGCGTGATAAATGTGATGCGATCTACGTGTTGCAATTGACTTTGGCTGTCTCGCGCGTGACCACCCCCCATGCTCGCACAGCCATCCCACCCACCCACCCGCCACTTGACTTTCAAAACCCATTCTGCGGTGATTGCGGTGGCTGCTCGGCGCTGGCTGGTGCATCGCTGCCGCCTCACTAACGCGCGCAGGGTCGCGCGCTGAGTGGCCAGCTCATCTGGCCCGACCAGCGCGGCGGCGGTTTCGCTGACCGCTGGGAGGTTCCCGGCGCGTTTAGCAGGCCGCGCGACGCGCGGGCACATCAGTACGAGTCGGTGGCTCGGGCGGGCGCTGTATCATGGCGACGTCGACAGCAGCGGGCAAGATGATGATGGTAGCTATGCTGGTGACGGTGATGGCAACGACGACAGCAAGGGCAATGATGGCGCCGATGCTGATCACGCCGATGGCGATGATAGTGTCCTCGCGTCGGCTGTAAAAGCTCCGAAAGATTTTCGACATGCGCGAGTGGGCAACATAGTATTATTTGTTAGGAAATGCCCCCCTCTGCACGTGCGCATGGGCGTTCGAATGACTTCGACATGCACGCGCGAGAGGCACGTCTGGTATCATGTGATGAACAAATTGGAAACGAGCTAATTAGAATTCGCAACAGCACGAGCGCAGGCTTTTTGGGACATTGCCGTTGGGAAGCCATTGGTTTTTTTGTTGCACGTTTGTCAAACACTCGATTTTGTCATCCTGACGGGGTTCCACGTGTTTTGACTGACTTCGCCATGCGCGTGCGCCGACGCGCGCAAGTGCACTTCGCCCCGTCAGCTGCAACACAAATCTTGCGACAGTGCGCGCGCAAGGGCGTTCGAATGATTTCGACTTGTGCGCGCGCGCGAGGCACGTCTGGTAACATGCGATGACATGTTGCAACACCCATGGTTTTCTCCAGGTTTCGCAAAAAGGCGGGCGCAGCTGGTTTCGAAAATTCGTGTTGCGAAACCATGGATTGTTTGGACACTCGATTTCGACCCCCTTGCGAAACAGAAAGTGTTTGAAACATGTTGGGTTGCGTGCGAGGCGACGCGCGTGTGTGCATTTCGCTGTTTTGTGTCATACAAAGGGGATCTCGAAACATTGAAAATGATGTGGTGCGCGCGTATATTCGCTGCAAAGGGTGCACGGGGGGTCGATACCAGATTTCCTGGGATGATACGAGTTCATATTTAGGATGGGCGAAGGGATGGAATCATGTGTGAATTGCACATCCCCAGGGCGGGGGATAATCCCGGGGGGGCGGGTCGATACACATTCCTTGTTAGAAGAGAGATCCTATCGGTGCGGTGACGGCGGCAACATAGCCGCCAGACAGGCACCCAGGCCCAGACGACGGGTGGCGACGAGGCGGCGACGAGGCGGAGACGGCGGCGACATAGCCGCCAGACCGCCAGGCAGGCCTGGACGACGGGCGGCGGCGACGTGGCGACGGGGTGGTGACAGAAGCTACAATTCCGTTGGACCAACACCCAGGCCTAGTTCCGTAGACAACAAGTAAGAAACCTTAAGTTACTGTTTAGGGAGCGTCCAGTGTTACATATATATATATATGTATATATATACATATGTGTTTGTTCATATGTAAATGTACATGTTTATGTTTACGTATGTGTATATATACAAAAATATGTGTATATATATGTGTATATACAAGTCACTCATATGGCGAGAGAGGCGCCAATCAACGGATCAACTAGTAAATCCCCATGCCCTCCCCATTACAAAATTCCACCAGTTGCAGCTGCTGCTGCTGCTGCTGGTGCTGCTGCTGCTGCTGGCTCCTCCTCCTGGTGCTCCTCCTCCTCCTCCGCCTCCTCATTGTCCTCCTGCTCCTCCTCGTCCCCCTCCTCTGCCTCCCTCGGGGTGTCATTCCCTCGTTTGTCGTCTTCTCTGCGCGCTCTCTTCGGATCGTCTTCCCTGCCTTGTCCACCAGTTACAGGCCAGTGCCGCTTCTCCCTCGGGTCTCCCAATCCGCCAGCGCGGCCTGGCGCGCCGCCCGCAGGCGGACCCCGAGTCCCTCCAGCAGTTCGGGCAGGTCGTCGCGTCGCAGTGGAACATGGACTGGCCCCCTGCGCTTGGGGTGTGCGAGGGCCCCCGGGCCTGGCATCGCTCGGACGTGTGTATTTTTCCCTCGGCGAGGACCATCGAGGAGCATCCTTGACCACTTGGCGAAAGACACGCACAAAACCAAAAAAACACAGGGAATGGACGTCCGAGCGATGGCCAGCAGGAGTTCAGAAAATGACGGCGGTCGGGGGCGCCTTGATGGGAGCAGCGGGCGGGGGGAAGGGCACAATCGCAGCGCTCAGAAGTGGCCTCAGTTCGCGTGTGGGATCGCCCAGAGAATTCATGCAGCCCAGAAGTTAGTCTCCCGCCGAATGCACGGAACGTGCGTAGAGCGTTCCGTACATCGATTGAACATTATAAGCGTTTTTCGCAAATGCCGCGGGTTAATAAATTCTAGCGTACATCCATCATGTAGTCGACCCCTTACTTGATCAATGGCGGTGCGAAGGTTGTGATTTGTACGGGCGCCGAGTCCTTCGTAAGATAGAGAAGCGTCGCGCTCAGCAGTTGCGGCCTCGCAGCGAGAAGCTCCGGGTCCTCAGGAGGACTGCTGGCACCAGGGTCGCTGCGCGTTGGAGAGCTGGGCTCATGCCAAGCGGGGCCATGGGGCTGCAGCCTCGGGGGTGTCGGATGCGATGCTTCGCAATTCGAGGGCTTTGGCTGGAGCTGATGGGTGCTAAAGGCCGTGTTCACGTATGTAACTCTGAATTTCAGTACCCATCATTGTCCTAGCTACGACCCAGTCGTGGACGTCACGGCCCCTCTCGTTTTGTATTGGGTCTGGGGCAGGAGAGTTGCCAATTCTGATTTGAAAAAAGGCCTGGGTCCAGGCCGACGAGTTGCCGTCGAAAAATGCTACAGTGGAGCCTGGTCCGTGGTTTCGTGGGCTTCATTTTCTGTTAACGCCGAAACGGATGGCAGCTGGTAGGGCCCCATCCGATTCAGAGGGATCAGGAGGAATTGCTCGATCCGTTTCTTACCTACCCCCTGCGGCATCAGGCTGGCTGCAACTGAGGGGGGGAATCACTCGACCACAGATTCAGCAGGTGTTGGCAGCTATCCCCGAAGCGCAGGAGTCTGAGAAGGTTTGGGGTCGAACATTCAGGTCGGGTTTGAATTCGGTGCGAGATCCATTGCGCAAGGGGGTCCTCAGGGCTTTGCCTGCTGGAGGGCTACGGCCACCTGCTAGGAATTAGCAGCACGGTTTCTCGGACAGTGATCTTTGCCAGTATTGCAAGCAGGCCACAGGCACGTTTGGCCATCAGCTGTCAGAGTGCGAAGGTTTTTGGCAGCGAGGGGGAAGGAGGTCCCGACGCGGTTTCTACCCGTTCCCAGGCAAGGTGTTGGAGCACCGTCGGAGCCAGACGGATTCGGCTGGAGGGCTCCCCCCCGATTTTGACGCGTCTGGGTTCGTGCACGGGGTCCCAGAGCCCCCCCCGAGCCTCAGGCACAAGTTCCCATGGCGCTGCCAGTAATCTCCTCGGGGGGGTCGCTTATCTTCCTTGCGGTCGAGACGCGTTTTTACGGCCCCCCTGAGCCTCAGGCACAAGTTCCTCTGGCACTGCCGGCATTCTCTCTGGGGGGGGCGCTCATCTTCCTTGGGGTCGAGACGCGCTTATGCGGACGGACCTGGCCAGGCGAACGGGATGCCCGAGCTCACCCGAGGAGGATGGTCGTCCGTGGAGCTCTCTGCCCAAGGTGGACCTGCTCGGGCCCAGTTCGGCGGCTTGAGCGCGGGGGGGGGGCCAGGAGGGCCGGACGCCAGGCCGTCCTCCCGGCGCTCCGTGTGGCCCCACTGGGGGGCGGAGGCTGTTTTGGATCATCTGTCGGCCGCGCGGGGAGGCAACAGCTGGAGTCAAGATCTGGCGCTGAGCAGCAGCAAGCGCGCCAGCGTGTGGAGGCAGGCAGGTGTTCAGGCTCTGCAGGGGCCGCGCTGGGCGTCCCAGGATGAGGTGGACGCCCGCTCGTGGCGAGCTCGAGTCGCTGGTGCAAGGCCAGGTGTTCCCCGAAGGTTCTGAGGTCTCGAGGGGCTTTCGTTTTCAGGGGAACGCTTGGGCCGACTATTTCGCTACTGCGGGAGCTGGTCGGATCCAGCACTCGGAAGCGAACGTGACCATCGTGCGAGAACGGTTGAACGATGTTTATCGCAGACGCCTACGGCGAATCACCGCCACCCCCTGCCTTTTTGGAAGCGCCTATGTGGCCGAACGTTGAGGCCAGACCTGCCAAGCTATCGGACCATGTGTTCCCCGAATCGGTTTGGAAAGCCTTCGGGAAACACGTGGGCATCTTGAAGGTCATCTTGGCCGTCTGGAGGCCATTTTGACCCTTTCGGGCCTTCAAGGAGGACGTCTTGGAGGGCTCTTGGGCCGTCTTGGAGGCCATCTAGAGCGTATTGGAGACCTCTTGGGCCGTCTTGGGGGCCTCTTGGGGCCGTGTCTTGGGCCTCTTGGGCGATCTTCGGGGGCATTTGGGCCGTCTCGGGCCGTCGGAAGGCAGAAAAAAAGCAAATGCCACAATTCCTCAAAAACCCATGGGGAATCAATGATTTAGGCCTTTTCGGGCCTTCCTGGAAGCCCTCTTGGAGGCCTCTTGGGCCGTCTTGGGCCATCTTAGGGCCATGCTCGGCCGTCTTGGTGGGCTCCTGGTCTGCCTGACGCCGTCGGAAGCCGTTTGGGGGGCCTCTATGGGCCGACTTGGGGCCCCTCTTGGAGTGCTCCAGGGCCGTCTTGGAGGCCGTCTTGAGCGTCTTAAAGGCCTCCTGTGCCGTCTCGGGGGCCCCGTCTTGGGCGCCTCGTGGGCCCTCTTGGGCCGTCTTGCTGTCCTATCTGGGGCCCCTGGGGCCGCCTTGGGGCGATCTTGGGGGCCTCGTGGGCCCTCTGTCTTGGAGCGTCGGGACGCCAGAAAGGCGAGAACGCCAAACTCCATCAAAGATCAACGGACATCAATGATGTTGGCCTCTTGGGGCCCTCTTGGGAGGCCTCTTGGAGGCCTCTTGGGGCGCCTTGAAGGCATCTTAGACCGTCTGCTGGCCACCTTGAGCGTCTTAGAGCGATCGTTCGGCAGCTCGAGGCCCTCTTGCACCGTTTTGGACCCTCTTGGGACCCTCTTGGTCCGTCTTGGGGCCCTCTTGGCTCCGAAAGAGTCCAGCGACAAGACGCGACAAGCCCCAAGCGATTTCGCAATTTGGTGTCTGGGCCCTTTGAAGACTCTTGAGGATTGAGGCCTGAGGCTCAGATGACGAGGAAAAGGACCTGAGAACACGTCCACTCCGTGCCCAGAGGCACGGTGGCGGATCGTACATCTGATGTTTGTCGCGGGCCAGCCCAGCTGGTGGCCAGCACGACGGTCCAGGAGACCAGATTGCCCGCGAGGCCAACAATTACGATGGCCCAACTCGCTCTGCTTTCACAATCTCGAGGAGGTCCCGGAGGGAGGAGTGCGTTGCGCATGGTGTCACTTCTCGACCAAGACGGATCTGTCCATATCCAAGCCAGGTGCACGCTGCGAGCCTTCGCGAGGGTGGAGGCCCTTGGCTGTCGCGCGCCACCTGGGCCCTGCCAGGGCGAGTCGTCAGCGGAACAAGCTGGTTCCGCGACTAGGTCCTGGCTGGGCGCGAGCCTCGAGATGACGGGTAGCCAGGGGCTGCTGGTGATCCAAGGGGTTGTCAGCATCCCCCGCCCGCCCGTTTGCGGGGCTCGGCCTATGCGGAAGAGGCTTGGTGCAGTTGCTCTGCACGCCGCCTCCCACGTCCTCGGGAGTGAGTGGGCCCGCTGGCTCCTCCTCCCCACCCGAGGTGTCTGCTTCCTCCGCCTTCACGGGGGCCGCCTGACTCTGACGGTGCAGCCTGGGCCTGCCGGCCCCATGCTCCCTCTTCGGGCGCCGCGCTCCCTCCCTCCAGCGCCTCGCTCGAGACACCCTCAGACTCTGCTCCCTGGCTGCTCCTCCGTGGGGTGCTGAGGTGCTGAGGCCAGCGCCGCGCTCGAGGCAGCCTCACAGTCTGCTCCCAGGTTGCTCCCCCCTTGCGTGCTGAAGCCAGCACCTCGCGAACGACATCCGCACAACATGCAACATGCTCTGGCAGCAACGACGCAGGCGGGCCACAGCAGGCACACCGCCTGATACCACCTGACTTTCTGGGCGCGAACGGGTCCGGGCTGCTCCCCCGTGGGATGCAGAAGCCAGCACCCGGGCCACCAAGCAAGCAAACCGTTGGAGCTCTCCACGATCTGCTTTGACATCAGAGGAGCCCGGGCCACCGAGCAAACGAACCGCTTGAGGCATATTCAAACTCTGATCTGAAAGCAAAGGAAGCTGGGCCAAGAAGCAAGGACACCGCTTGAGACATCCCCGCATTCTGGCCGCAAACGGGAAAATAACACATTCCTGGCGGCTCCCCTTGGCGGGCTGAAACCAGCACATCGCCTGATACATTCCCACTGTTTGCTCTGAGCGCAGACGGGTCTGGGTTACCATACAGGCAAACCGTGGGAGATCTTCCTACAATCTGCGCGCGGGGCCTTGCAACCATCCCTGGCGCCCAACATCCAGGGTGCTGAAACCACAAAATCGTTTGAGTCATCCTCCATGTGCGTTGGACGAACTCCGAGGAGTCTGGATCACTACACAGGGAAACCGCCTGAGACATCACCACATTGCGGGCGCGAGCGGGGCCGTGCAAGCACCCCTGGCGGCGCTCCTTTGGGTTCCGAAACCAACAGTTCGCGTGAGACATCCGCACAGTCTGCTGTGGCAGCAGACGAGCCTGGTCCACCAGGCAAGCACATCGCCCGAAACAAAACAGAAGCTGGACGCGAACGGGGCCGTGCAACCCTCCCTGGCGGCTCGTATGTGCGGTGATGAGACCAGCAAGTCGCTTGAGACATCCGCACAGTATTCTCCGAAAGCAGATGGGTTGGGGCCACCAAACAGGCACGCCGCCTGAGACATCACCACACGTTGGGCGCGAACGAGGCCGTGCAACCATTCTTG